CTAATCAAGTGTCTTCTGCAAGTTCTTGTAGAGCCCATGAGGACGTTGGTTCATTTCTTGTGCCGTGATCCTCTTAAGACGTGAGAGAGAAGATTTCTTCCATTTGAGAAATACTGGGGTTTTCCTTGAGCTGGAGAACTTCCAAAGAAGATAAAAACTGAAAAGTATCTCCTTGCTCTGGGCTTGGGAAAACAGCAGACGCGTGACGGAGCAGCAATTTTCTGCTCGTTGCCGTATGCGAATTCAAGGATTTTCCCTAAGGGAAGTCGGCAATCTGTGTGTGTCTGGTACCTGGGAAGGGCCGGGTTGTCAGAAGCAGAAGTGAGGCTGTTATCTGTGGAATGAGCCTCATTCCCTGAGGTTGGCTCCGCAAAGGGCCACCCTTTCCCCTTCCTGCTGGCCTCACGAGCTGCCTGCTGCATTCCTCCCTTGCCTCCCCCATCCTGAAGCAAACAAGGAGAAACCAGTCTTGTCTGGAGCCTGGAGGGAGCTACAGCTCATGGGGAAGACCAAGGAAGCTGCAGTTTGTCACCTACATGTCCACAGACTTGTCTTAGGGGCTTTTGCTCATGTGTCTCGAGCAGTTTTCAACTGGAACATCACAGATGTTGTCCAACACATCAGTCCACACGCTGAGAGAAGAGGGAGTCTTCATCTTACTCGTGTGGTGGAGCATGGACATCCAAACCAAGACGACTCGACTTGGCCAGAAGGAGACAAGAGTAGGACTTGGATTTGATGGAGGAGGGTTGTTGAAAGCTCACGTTGGCTGGTGCTTACCTGGGCTCTTTGGGAGCTCAGCAGCTTGTAGGAGCAACACTTCAGTCCAAAGCCAACTGGAGATCCCAAACAAAAGCTTGCTCAGCCTCCAGTGGTGACTCACTTCATGGGAACGTGCTGTTCAGATGCTTTATTGAGCTTTCAAGGAGCAATTTTTCACTGGGGCTGAAATATGAGCGAGGACAGAGTGTTCCAAATCACTAGAAGTGAACAGGACAGCAGCTTTACAGGTTCGTGAGTGGCAAGAAAGGCTTATTTAATAATGGGGAAAAGGCCGGAACATAGCCCAGGGTATCGAGGAAGAATTAATCTAATTAACAAAACAAAGCATGAGCTTGAGAAGAAATACTAATTGTAGCTGTCCAGCAGGCTGTGGGAGGCAGGATATTTTCCTTAAGTTTTGAGAAGCTTGAAGTATTGATCCCTCGAGGGCTCGAGATGTTCAATATACACTTCCCAGTGAGTAAAACAGGTTGTTAATTGATTTTATCCTGCCAGCCCTGGTTGTTGAGCCTTTGAGTCTCACATGAAGTAGATAATTCTATAATAAATCCCTATTTTCTCCGAATATGCGTTGTCTTCTCCAGGTAGTTTGTATTTTGTTTTGTCCCTGTAAATGCAGGAAATTACCAGCCTCATGCGCAGAAGGGCCTGGTGATTTGAAACAAGCTGGAGATACTTCTACAATCAAAGACCCTGTGTCACATTGAATGAAATATATAACAGGCTGTCAGTGCAGGAGACGAATGAGACGAGGGGTCAGTTTAGGTGAAACATGGGAACCTCCTGGGTTGTGGCACTTTTCGTGTGCAGCAAGTTGAGGCCTTTCACATGCTGGGATTATGCACCTAATAACTGCTTTTTCTCATCTCTGTTGCTGCTAGAGAAGCAGCGGACACACAATATTGTTTAATCCTGGCTTGGACACTTAAATCAGCTCCAGTTATGTCTGTTTTGAGGTGTGCAGGCTCTGCAGAACTCTCAGTGCTTCCCAGCCCATTGGTGAGGCCATGTGGTCCTCTTCTGGACCGGACATCTCACAAACTGCTTCAGAAACCAGGGGCTGAGTGGAAGAATCAGGCCACCGTTTGTGAAGACAGGTGAGAAAGAAGGGTCTAGACCAACGTGGAGCTAAATTAGAAAGTTCAAATCAAACTAGGAAACAAATGATTGAAGGTTAAACACACCAATGTGTCTGAAAACAGCACGTGATGTCATCATTAAATTTGATCTGTAATCTCCCCAAAGGAGGCTCCAAAATGGGAAAGAATATTCCAGTAATTTCACTTTGGCCCTCAGAGATAAGGCTGTGAGGTGTGCGGGCAACCCAGTAGTACTTTGAATAAATGATCTTAGTGTCTGGATGTGTTTGACCAGTTCAGACCTTAATTCCTTGCAGAAAGCTTTTTTTTTTCTTTTGTGCTTTCACCCTCATCCCGCAGAATAGCTTGTGGTTTTTTTGATTGTTTTATTTTACATAGCATTAGTTTCACCTCAAGTACATCCCAAGAACTTTGGGACTTTTTTTAAGCTTGTTCTGCAGCTGGAGTTGGGCTTGGAGTCATGAGCTTGGCCTGCATGGAAATGCAAAAAAGAGGTGTTAGGAGGTGGGGAATGCGGAGGCTTCCCCTTCCACGGCCAGGGAATTACTTGGTCACTGTGCTGCTGTGAACCTAAGGGACATGAGATTTAGCTCCAACTTGGAGCTTTTGGACATAAACACGTGATGTATCTGATGGACAAAAACTATTTCTCTTTTGCTTCCATTTTTTCCCACTTTTTCTTCCTTTTTTTTTTTTTTTTTTTTTTTTTTTTTTTTTTTTCCCTGCCACCCTTTTTTCCACCCTTTTTTTCTCATTTTCCTCCTCTTTCCTGCAAGCACAGAGCACTGTAGCTTCATTTTCACCTTGCCCTTTCTGTTTTCTCTCCCTCCTGGCTTTCTTTGTCTCTATTTGATGTTAATTCTATTCCGCCTCCCTGGAAGTCAGACTAGTGGGGGGTGTTTTCAGCTTTGAAACAAACCCATTAGGACTTGAAATGGGTAATCAGACACTGGAGAAGTGGTACAGGAGCATGGCATTAACATCACTGAGACAAGTAAGCAGAAGCAATCTCTGGCAGGTCATTGGAAAACAGGATATTTGCTACAAGAAGATAAGCAATATAGAAGCTTCTTGGGTTTTTTTTGTTCTTGAAAAAAAAAGATTAAATGGATGATCTTTATCTTTCTCTTTATGGCTAGATCAAAAACTAATCTCGTGTTGATTTCTCCCACACTAACAAAACAAAATGCAAACCCGAGATTATTGAAGGTAGAGGAAAAGCTAGATTTTGAAGCACATCCAAACCACGAGGAACCGCTCACTTTCCTTTCAAAGCAGCATTAACAGTAGAGCTCTAAATCAATGAAATGTCCCAAATCTGATTATATTCCTGAGATCATATGTGAATCACTAGTTAATCATATTTTCTTGCATTATCACTGTCTTTACCCTTTTATTTTGCCCTGAGAAATTAGGTTTCCAGCTTCAAAACAGAGAGGCAACTGTGAAGGCATGAAACCCTGGTGTGGGTTAGGCCACACCAGATCACTTGCAGATCTCCTGTTTTGGAGGTACATTTTGCATCCCAAGTTGATCTCGAGTGTCTATTAGTTAATGCTGCATCTCTCTGATGTTTGTTTGGAGTAGCTGTTCTCTTAAATTTATGAGAAAATACTGCTATAAAACGTTGGATAAGGTGTAAAAGCCAGTGATGGGGTAGGACAGAAGTCAACTATGACTTGACTGCATGGCACAAAGCCTAGGAAACTGTGTTCTTTATTGCTCTATGTTTTGGCTGAGTTTTGGAGTAAAATGGACATCTGAAATCAAAGAAATGAGGTGACCTGGGAAGATGGGTGAGGTGTGTAAGCATGTGGAAGATGTCCATGTGTTCGTATGCAGTGGTGGCTGTATGGAGCATATGTCCTTGCAAGCAGCACCAGGTTTGTGTGTCTGATCATGCAAGAGTGTAAATGTGTTGGGAGATGAGCTTGGTGTTGTGTCTCTGTGAGCTTTTTTTGGGGATCTGTAGAGGGGGTAACTTGGTGGATGTGCTTCTGGCTGGTTGTGCTTGAAAGGTGACGCTGACCTTGTGAAAGCCAATGCGTCTGCATCTGGGGATGCAGAAAACCCCACTGTAAAAGGCAGATATGAGGAATAAAGCAGCTAAGTGCTGATAGCACGAAGGTTTATGCAACAAAGGTAGTGTTGCAGAATGGGACTTGCACAAACCCTTGCAGGGAATATCCATTTGCAGCAGGGAAGTGCCGGGACGTGTCCCTCCCTGCCGTGCCCAGGCCCTTTTTCCCTGGGAAATTTCCCATTTCCCATCACGTTTCGCCGTCCGCAGCTCCAAGGAAGCGGTGTGGAGACGAGGGCCCACGTGCCAGCGGCACGGACCCCTTTGGAAGGAGCCTTCGTGTCACACGTGTGGCGCCTGCACGAGCGTGGGAAGCGCGAGGTGCCTCGAGCCTCGGGGATGGAGGCAGACGGGTGCAGGCCAAAAGGCTCCTGCATTTCTCCCCAGTGCTTGCCCAGTAATCCCCAATAATTAGCAGGGCTCTCGTGTTTCAGGGCTGACGACTGAGCAGCTGCTCAAGTGCCAGCTCGCTGGGCAGCGTCCCCAACAAAACATCCCTTGTTGCTCCTCGCCATGGTGAAACGATGATCTCTAGAGGTCCCTTCCAGCCTTAACCTTTCTATGAAACGCTGCCATCCCAGCCTTGCTTCGGCTCTGCAGCCTTCCACATAGACAAAATGTGAGATTTTTGCCAGTGATGTATTCTTCTAGGTCCGTTTAATATCCGTTATCAATTTAATATGCCACTTTAATGAAATTTTGCTCTTTCCATCTCCATGGAACCGATTACTTAGTGTGCATGGGTTTTGTTTTTCTTTTTTTCTTTTAAGGAAATAGCAAGTGGAGAAGTTGAACGCTTGCTTCAGCTGAAGAGAACATTTCCTAAGTCCTGGGGGGAAAAGGGGGGAAAAAAGAGACCCACAGGATGTTGCTGGTAGGTGTGTAAGTGACAGGAAACCGTGACTAGCAGCATGAGTGTCAACAGGAAACCCAAGCTGAGAGCCTGTGCAATGGTGCCGGCCGGAGCGCCCGCTGTGCCCGGCTGCCTGCTGGACTCAGTGGCCTGGGGAGCAGCGTCCATCCACGTGAGCTTCTCTTCTGGGGCCCTGTCTGCTGGAGTGCGCTGAGTTGATCCGCTCTGCTGGAGCTGCAAGCCACGTTTCTTCTCTTTGCACCTGTTGCTGTGGAGCTCTTGGACAGCCGTGGGGAGGAAGGAGCAAGTGTGAAGCTCCTTGCAAGGTGGCCACCACGTGAGCGCTCCTGGGACCCCCGGCGGCTTTGAGGCGTCTTGGCTGCCCAGCGCTCTGCAGATATGAACGCTGGGCTTTTCTGGCACGTTCTCGCTTTGGCCCCGTCGCTCTCACCATGCTAGTACATGGGAAGGAAGACTTCCTCTCCGACGTAGCGTACATCGTCTTGGAGCTGGTCATTGCCGTGCTGGCCATCCTGGGCAACATCCTGGTCTGCTGGGCGGTCTATCTGAACAGCAACCTGCAGAACGTCACCAACTACTTCGTGGTGTCGCTGGCCGCCGCCGACATCGCCGTGGGGGTGCTGGCCATCCCCTTCGCCATCACCATCAGCACCGGCTTCTGCGCCTTCTTCTACGGCTGCCTCTTCATCGCCTGCTTTGTGCTGGTGCTGACGCAGAGCTCCATCTTCAGCCTCCTCGCCATCGCCATCGACCGCATCATCGCCATCCGCATCCCCCTCAGGTGAGGCTGGGCGGGCTGGGGGAAACACGGGGGTCTTGGTGAGGGATGGTCACCAGGGAGAGCGCCAGAGCAGATGAGCTGAGAAGAGGGGTTGTTACATGGATGTTTAGTTCCTTGTAATTGGAAAAATGCTTTTTGGGCTCTGGAAAACCGCCACAAGGCTCGTCCCCTCGCCACCCCCAAGGATGGTTTTGCTGTGGTCTCCAGCCTGGAGCTCCAAGAACATGAGATCCGAGTAACAGAGCTGGAGGCCGAGGGCAGGAGCTGCTGCTCCGAGTGCGGGCAGGAGCCTCCTGTGGATCAAGGGAAGGTCAGCTGCACACGTGGAGCCATGGCTCCGTTTGGAGCCTGCCGATGGGATGGGATTTATCCGGCCGGGGCTGCTGCTGGAAGACCCGGGTTAAACGTGTCGTGGTGACGCCCCCGTGAGCTCTTGGGCTGCCGAGGAAGCCTCGGGAGAGGCCAGTGTGGGCAGAGCCGAGGAGGCCCCGTGTGTCCCGTGTCCCGAGGAGGCCACGGGCTCTCCCGTGTGGAGAGACTTGCTTCTCTCCATGCCGCAAACGCAGTCCCAGAACTGGAACAACCTCCTTGTTCCCTTGCACTCGAGTCTGGGTTTCGGGATGTGCTCCGTCCTGCGAAGGCTGAGTCTGGTCTCTGGTCTCTGCAGCTCTATTTTCTCTCTCGTGAATATTTTGGTTATCTGGCTGTTTTTGCAGAAAAAAAACCAACAAAACCCTCTCATGCAAAACCAGAGAATGTTCTCCCTAGAGCTAGGCAATGACCTTTCCATATGGGACCGCTTTCAACGAGCCTGAACTCCTGCAGCCTCACCCTGAGTTGCCGCTTCCCAAACCTGGAGCCCTCAGTGCTGCAGCCTCTGCTGTGGCTGCAGGGAGGAACCATTCCGGTCCGCTGCAGAAAAACAAAAACAAAACCCAAACTGTCAATATTAGCAGCTCTAAATTCAGGCTGCCTCCACTTTTTGACAGTTCTACCGAGCAGGCACTTTTAGTTTTATAAACCAATATAATGATAAATGGCACAAAGAGACATAGGCAGGGTAGTGCTCGGCAGCTTGCCTCTGAATTGATTTTGAGAATGCCTGATGCCTTTAATTCAGCTCTCGTGAGTTAACCCTGGAAGCTTTTGCTGACGGTTTAAGCATTCACATTGTTGGGGGATGACTTGAAAGGAAAAGGATTTTAAAAATTTGGATTTCTGCCCGCTTTTTTGGCTTTTCCGTTGCCTATTGCCTTGAGACTTCAATTTCCTGGAATAAGCCGAAATAAAAAGTCTCTCAGAAAAATACGAGCTCGCCGGTGCTGAGTATTGTACCTGTTTTGCTGTTTTGTTTTGGAGAAAACAAAACACACCCTCTTCCACCCCCGAAACCCTGGAGATGATTGGGCACAGAAACGCACGGGCAGAACCGCAGGTCCCCCCTTCTGGTCTCTACCCGTTTGTCCTTCGACAGCCGGAGCAGAACTCGCCCGCTCTGTCTCCTCTAGAAGAATCCGTGGATGAATAAACATGAGGTGTTGGATCTCGGACGTGCTGAGCGGGTGAAAGCCGATTAGCCGAGTTGTGGTAGGACTCAGACTGTTCACCTCATTTTTTTTTCTTCTAATATCTGGTTGCCTCAAAAATTTAATAGTTAATTAATGTTAAATAGTTGGAAAAAAAGTTGTACCAGTAAGGATGCAACGTTTCCACCCCATCTTTCCTGAGTTCCCATCTGGGAAAACCTCAGAGGATGAGAAAGGTAACAGCTAAGGCTCTCCTAATAGTCATCAGTCTCTTAAACCAAAAAACCCACATGTCCTTCATGTGTCTTAGAAGAAAACAGAGGCCTAAACCTATTTTTTCTTCTTCTCTTTCTTGTTGATGGTCTCATGTCTGATTTGTCCCAAGAGAAATGAACATCTGGGTGGATGAGGTTGCCTATGTTGGTGTGTATTGCGACACATATAAATTAGATGTGAAGGAGATGATGTGAAAGAGACTGAAGAGTGAGATTTCTGATACTGCTTCTTTTTGAACACCTCAATGCAAAGATAGACTTACCTTTGGAACAGTTTTTCTGTGCATACAAGACCATCCCTCTGAAACTGCAATGAGAAAAATCACGGGTAAAATTTAAAAACACATAAAAGTAATTTTTGATACATTTCGATTTGGTCTGTCTTGTGGCTTCCACTTTGTAAAGTGATTATAACATTATGCAGAATATGATAAACTTTCCAGAAGTTTGCACGACCTTTTGCTGCATTTTGCCTGGAATTTTGGGACATTCTGCCAGGCTTTATACAATTGTGACACTGAGAGAGGCAGTAGAGCATTCCCAAGGAAGGGAGCCCAGCCATTTTTTGGTCTGGGACTAAAAGCAGACTGTCTCTTGGGCATGGCAGGTGCCTGAAATCCTGCGCTCACTGATATGAACCCCCAGGGTGTTCTAAATAAACCTGCCTGGAGTCTGAGCTCCAGGATGAAGTCATGAGCCCAGGAAAATTGCCACTTTCCAGGCTCTTTGGTGCCAACAACTGCTCCAAGGGGCACGGTGCCCAGCCACAAGCTCTTGTGCTTGCATTTGTGGTGCAAGTATTCCCGTGGTGAGGGACAGGTAGTCGGGATGTGCTGGAAAGGGAGAAGTTTTTGTTCCTGCAGTCAAACGGAAGAGTTTTCTCAGGTTCCTGCTGGCTTTAGGTGTTCACCTGCAGAATGAATCCTTGTTTGTGTCACTCGGTGCCAACTACATGAACTGGCTGGAGGGCAGAGCTTTTCCTCTGCTGAGAGCTGCTTGAGGAGGTGATTGACTGCCCAAGGTACTGGGATGCTCCTCTGGAAAGCAGTGCTAAGATGCAGCTCCCTGATGCTTGGAGCCTGGGCCCGGATTCAGCCGTCTGACAGTGATTAAAGTTGCAGCTCTGAGTTGGCTTTGGGATGACAGGTTGCTTTTTAGCCAGAGCCTAGCGGAGCTGGACACAACTTGCTTCTCTGAGTCTGGGGTGGGAAGAATAGAGATGTATGAAAACCCTGAACAAATAGTGCTTTATTGGCACCTTGAGACACATCTGGATTGCTTTTGTATCCTGCTTTCCATAAGCCTTTGACTTTAGGACAGATATTATCTCCATGTGCTTATTTTTGTCTCAAATATATTATGAGCAGATTCATCCTAATATGAGAGTAATTTGCTTCCTCCTTTGTAAACCACGGGCCACACTTTGGAAGTACAGCTAGTTGTTTGTGGCTTCACAGGTCCCATAAACTGCTGCTACCATGGTTTCAGACTGAAGATGGTTGCACATTGTATGTGCAGTGGTTCTTGCACTGTGCAGAGGAGCAGTCTCTGCTCACTCTCATCACATCTGCCTTTGAGAGATACGTGCCCATCTGTGGGCAGCAGGGATGGGTTGTGTGTTGCTGAGCGCGGCTGCTCTCCCAAGGGCAGGGTGCCAGTCTGTGGCCAGGAGAGCAGCAAGACAGGCAGAGTTCCTGGGTGACTCCTCTTGTTGTCTGTTCTGAAGGTACTAAAGAAAATTTTTTAGGAAAGCACCCAATTTTTTATGTACTTGCACAACTGGACTTGGTTTTCTGGAGGAGCCAGGCACCCACATCCCCTCACCCAACCCCACCTTGCGTGCGTCTGGGCTCTGCACTAATGCCCTTTATTTGTGTCTGGGTTTTCATGAGTAAAAGCCATTACTGGTGTGGCAAGTCCAGTATTTCCTGGAAGCGCAGAGCTGCTCGTGCACGGGCAATCCAGTGCTGTCTGGACACATCAGACACGCGGCAAAGTCACTGCTGACTGCCGAGCACAGACTGTGGGTGCAACCAGCTCTTTTCAGCAGGTTGCGTCTCCTGCACAGGTGCCACCAGCTCACGCTGAACCAAATGTTTCCTAGAAGCCCTGAACTTACCTTGCAGAGCTGTTTGGTGCTGGGAAGATGGACTGTAGCTTTGACGTGGCTGCTGCAAGCCTCAGAATATGCCTAGACAGACACACTGAACCTTCGGTGCCAGCCAGGTGACATTTCTAAGCGGAAAGAAAGAATAAATCCAGGAATATTTGTCCAGACAGTAACCCTACCTCTGCCAAGTTATTCAGTGTCGCAGGTGGGACCTAGAGGTGAAGTTCTCCCAAGTGAACAGACCTTTCCCAATAGGTGCCAACGGGATGCCACACACGATAGCACGAGACACTGTGAATTTCCACCCTTAACTCTTGGCAATCCTGGGCAAGACCTTATGGAAACACACACCCCAAGAGGTCGGTCATCACCTCTGCTGGCAAAATACACCACAGGGAGAGAGCAGGAATCTGCCTGGGCCTCAGCGCTGTCCCAGAGCCCTGTGAAGCTTTGTTGTCTGGGAATCCCCGGAGGCCAAGAGGGAGGGAGAAGCAAGGGGGTGTTTGCCTGGAGCAGCAATAAATGTATTTTTAGTGGAAGGGACATCTCTAGTCGTGGGATAACAGCTGTGCAATTTCAAAATTCCTCTGACAAAGCTGTAGCCGGCTCCAGGGCTTCAGTTTTTTTTTTTATTTCCAGCTTCCAGTGCCTTTGGCCACTCTCCTGCTCCCTCGGTGCTCTTCTCTAGTGCAGATGCTGTTTGGCTCTGGTGATGAGGTCTGGCCGTAAGCAGCTCCCCTCGACCCTTCACACAGTGTCCTCCCCGTCAGCAGGATGCACCGCTTGCTGGGAAAAATAAAAGGATCTCCCAGGACCAGCTGGATTCTTCCCTGAATCTGCAGAAAGGGGATTGTGGAGTATTTTGGGTGCTGGGAACTGTGTGGCTGGCTCCCTTGATTCCCTCTTTCCTGCCTTTGAAATGCAGTTCAGGAGGGGAGACTCAGACCCGCCAGTTGGTTGTGCAGAGGCAGTTTCCTTCCAAGACCCATCAGCCGGGATTTAAAACACGTGCAGGATCTCCATTCTGCTCCGTGCCTGGAGAAAGCAGCATCTCTCCTCCCCTGTCTTCAACTTGCGCTAGGATAGCAGCATAAACCCAGGGGATTAAACACTTCATTGAGAGAGGGAGAAATTTCCATAGCTAGTTGGACTTTTTTTCTTTTTTTTTTTTTTTTTTTTGATGTTTGCTGAAAGAATTCAAGGTGTGGACAAAGAGAGAAGGAACAGCAGGTAAACAGTGGGAGCCCAAAGCTACCGCTGTCCGATCGGACACACGGGGTCAAGCACAGTGTGGGACCCATGCCGGACAATGTGGGAATGCAGCCATCAATTTTCCATGCAAAATGTGACCAAGGAAAGGCAGTGAAATGTTAACCTGCTGCCCTGATTTACATTTTCTGCGAGCAGAACTGGTGGAGTCAGCTCAGCGCTCGCAGTAACCTGGGACGCCTTGGGAAATGGCTGGTATTTCAAGCAAACAAAGGTCCTTGGCTGCACTGTCAGGTTTTTACCACGTTGCGTATTGTCTCTTTTGAGTTTTTTTGAGAAGATTTATTACCAGGAGCGCTGGTTTGAGCCGGGCACATCAACACCTTCACCACCAAGGTCTCCTTTGGTGTGTGCAGTGCAGCCCACAACATACCTGCAGTCAGAGCGTGTCCTCAGCTGATTTCCTCCTTCCTGAGAAGGAGTCTCCTTCCTCCTTCATGAGGAAGGCTTGGAGTCAACGTGGCTGGGCTGGAGGGCTTCCCTGGCCCAAGGAAGCCTGGTGGTGCTGGACGTCCAGGTTTCCTACATATGAGCAAGTGGGAAGATGGTAGGAGAGAAGGCAGATGGAAACCATGCTCATTTAGCTGCTTTTGTGTCCTCTGCATGTTGCCCCGGGGAGAGAGGAGGGAAGTAGGGGACAGGCAGCATCACTGGTGAGGCCTTGTGGTGCTTGTCTGGCTTGGGGAACTCCTGCACAGCTGTTCAAGGGCTCATGTGAAGGAGAAGGAGCCTTTCTCGCTCTCTTCTGCCTTCTGGGAGGTTGGGCCTTTGGCAAATTGCTTAGGTGTTGGGGGCTCACCCAGTGATGCTGTTGTAATTCTGGTCTCCTCTGCTTTGCAGGTACAATGGCTTGGTGACTGGCTCTCGAGCCAAAGGTATCATTGCGATCTGCTGGGTGTTGTCTTTCATCATCGGCCTGACACCCATGCTTGGGTGGCACAAACGCGCGCAGGTTGAAGAGCAGGGAGCCAACAAGTCCTCTCCCATCAACTGCAGCAACAGTATGGTGGTGTGTCTCTTTGAGGCGGTGGTCACCATGGAGTACATGGTCTACTACAACTTCTTTGCCTGCGTGTTGTTGCCTCTCCTCCTCATGTTTGGTATCTACTTGAAAATCTTCATGGCAGCCCGACGACAGCTCAAGCAGATGGAGAACAAGATGGTGCACGGGGAACGCTCACGCTCCACCTTGCAGAAGGAGGTCCACGCAGCCAAGTCTTTAGCCATCATTGTTGGGCTGTTTGCTATCTGCTGGCTTCCACTACACATTATTAACTGCTTTACCCTTTTTTGCCCAGACTGTGCCCGAGCTCCCCTTTGGCTGATGTACCTGGCCATTATCTTGTCTCATGCCAACTCCGTCGTAAATCCTCTGATTTATGCCTACCGCATCAGGGAGTTCCGTCACACCTTCCGTAAGATCATCAGCCAGCACATCCTGGGGCGGAAGGAGCCCTTCAAGGCAGGAGCAGCCAGCTCCAGGACTTCCACGCACGGTGGGGACGGCGAGAACGCCAGCATACGTTTTGGTGAGTATGCCTTGGAGGTGTACACCAACGGAGAGATCCACAGGGATCCCGAGAAGCAGGACTTGAACAAATGCAAAGTGGCCTTGGAATGGCACCAGAATGGGAACGCTGTGGACATGGAGACAAATGGGCATCTCCCACATTCCTGCAAAAATGGGGTTCTCTCAGATGCGTGCATGAACAGGGAGCTCCAGGGTGAAGAGCTACTTGATGCCCATATCTCCTACTCAGATCTAGAAAGCACAGCCTTTGCAGCATCTGATGTTTCCTGATGACTCTTGCAAAGTCTTCCTGGTTGAATTACTTTTTTTCTTTTTTTCCTTTTTTTTCCCCATTGGTGGCCTCTGCTGTGGCAGAAAGGGAGGTTGGGGGCTGGGGGGGGAGACATTTGTATTAAGATTGCTGTGGAGAAAGGTGTCCCTACCCAGGACTGTTGGGAAGATGCTAAAGACCAGACTGGAGAAAAGCCAAGAGACCACTGAGATGGACGGCAGGCGGAAGGGACATGTTGCCCAACAGAGACCCGTCGCCAGGAGCAGTGCCTGGGTCAGAGATGGATCCCAAGTGCAGCACTGGGAGAACTCTGCTGATGCAGGGCACGTTGTGACGTTAGCTGTCCCGCGTGTCCGTGGTTGTGCGTCGCTTGTGCTGTCAGTACTGAGAGAAATAAAAGCCTGGCTGGAATATTCACTTACTGCAAAGAGCAGCAGGGAGAGGCCGGTCAGCACTGTGGCCCTCCACAACCTCAAGTGTTAGCAACTGGGTTTGCAGCTGGGTAGCAGCTTCTGTTTGCCGGGGAGGATGCCAGTGGCTTTTTGGACAAGGAGGGCATCTACCCAGTGGGAACTTTGAATGCCTTCGACCGTGGCGTTTTGTTTTCGGTTTGTGTTTTTCAACTTAAGCTCTAACAGGTTCCTCAGATTTTGTTTGTTTGTTTTTTTCCCCTGTCTTGATTAGATTACTCAACGTTAGGTTATAAAAGCTGGGCAAGGACTCATATCCATTCCCTAAGTCTCAAAGTTCCCAATGCGCAGACAAATACAACCTCGTAGCCTCCACTTTCATCTAGCAAATAATGGAGCCTCCAGCACGGAGGCCCCGCGGGGGACTGGGGGCTCCGAAATAGCCGGCCGGGTTCTGGCACCAGCCCCACGGGCCGGGCAGTGCCCCGGTGCTGTGCGGGGCTGCCCCGTGTGTGACGTGGCCCCACGGCACTGGCGGGTTCTGCTTTCTTCTTGACTTGTCCTCCTCTGCACCCTAAATGCTCTTTCTCTCCCTGCTCTAGGGTCATCCTACCGGCTCTCGCCATGTTCACCCTCACCCAAGAAGCTGCAGATTTTCTTTTTTCTCTTTTTTTTTCTACAGAAGGTGGGGGCTGTTTGAACATTTTTTCTCTTAATTTCAGTTGCTGCCTGATGTGCTTTGCTGTGACGCCCCATGTGTCCCTGCAGTGCAGAGACCTCCTGATGCCCAACAGAGCTGGGTTGCCCTCTGGTGAGAAGGTGCTCCTGCTTTGGGGAGCTGGAAGGTATTGGTGGTAGGGGCAGGCTGCTTAGAAACCACATTGTCCATGTAAGAGAGGGCTACAAATCTATGCCACAGTGAGGCCGTGCACTGATGCGGTCTGTTGGAGAGAGGTTCTGCAGCAGATTGGCTGATATTTTGCTGGGTCATTTATGAAGCCTGGGAGCACAAGGACAGCAGAGAGCCACAGCAGCTCATATGCTATATTAAGTCTTTGTTTCCAGAGAAATATTCCAGTTTCACGCCCAAAACAACCACCGTTCCGGAGCTGGAGGCAGGCAGCAATGATCCCACTGGAAAACTCAAAGTGTGGTAGCTCCAGAAGTCTGGAGAGCATTCCCTGGCTTAAAATCAGAGTCATTTTCAGAAAGGAGAGGGGAACTGGATTTTCCCCTCTCCTGCTAATTCCTGCTGTTCAGGAATAGCAGTAGATTAGATCTGTGTGTTCTCCTTCCACATTTATCTTAAGTATTGCAAACTATTAAAATGAAAAGAACTTTATTTTTGCCAGTCTCCCTGGATGAAGGTGGGAAGTGGTTCGTAACTGCTGAAGGTATTTAAGTGTGAAAGCCCCAGGCTAGCACAAAGCTTATTTTGAGATGTGTAAAATGATGTGGTCACTGCCATGATCTCCAGCAGAAAGACAAGAAAGACGATCTTGAGCAGAGAGAGAAGTTCACGTAGGCAAGAACATGAGAACTTAGAACAATAGGCTTCACAGTTCAGTTCTTGGGGTGACTCTTCCACGTAGGCTAACGCTGGAGCAGTGGGTTATCACTCCAGCAGCAGTAACGCATACTAAGCCCTTTTCTGTAACCATCATTGTAGATAGTTCCTCTGTAGAGCAACTTGGGATCTTGTTGCTCTTGATGGCTCTGGGTGGAACGGTTCTCTAGGTTGTTTGAGGGGGTCTCTCCTCCGACCTCCTGCAACAGCAGCACGTTTGAGTCAGGGAAAAGGGGGCCTGATCTCATCGGGCCTCAGCTGGAAGCCAAAATGTTTCTAAGAATAACACGAGGTTACATCCGGTATTCATGTCAATAACAATTAGGTCCACAAAGAAACAGAGCAGGGAAAGAAGTGTGGGAAAATACCAGCATCGCTCATGTGCTGGAACACACACAAGTGCAGAAGTGTCTCTCACTGAGCTTTGGTTGCCCTTGTAAAAGGATGTTTTATGGGACGTTGCATCAGTCTTTCAACAGCTGATGTGGGTTGGTTGCGTTCTATTGTTTCCTGAGCTGCTTCATGCTTGGTTGTGGCAGCTTCTTGGTGGCCCTAAGAATAGAATTGATCTGTGTTGATGTGATGAACTTGGGATAATTCCTCTGGAAAACATTTCTGCCCAAAGTGTTTGCCATACAAGATTACTGAATTCCCAGATGTCTTGAAATTAGTTTTTCTGTGGCTATTTGAAGTGCCCCCAAGAGTGTCCAGGCCCTTTTCGGATTAGTGATGCAGATTCAGAATGAAAAGGATGTGCAGAGGGCCCATGGGATGTGTGTGGGAGGGAGTGTGGTCGATGTAAGTGGGTTTATGTGGAATTAGAAGTCCATAGTTGCGGAAGGAAGGGACGGCCAAGTGTACCATGTGTTGTGTGTGCCTTCTGTCAGACACTTAGGTCTGAGGTGGACCTTCCAGAAGTGTTTCCAAAGTGGTTGCTGGGACGGGCATGAGCTTTTGAGGACCTATATCTTGTTTTTTAGGGATCATGGTTGTGAGACAGAAAGGGTTTTCTGCTGATTGCTGCTGGTGACAGCTGCAGTAGACTTGGGGGTTGCATGGAGTTGTTTGAACCTTCTGATTGCTCTTTTGAGGGTGTAGGAGACACTGAGGGTGTAAGAAGGCTTCAGGTGCGGGAGCAGGCTGGAGTGCTGGTGTTAGATGACAAGTTTGAGCAGGGAAGGAGGATTTGTAGGGTAGGTGTTTGGGAGGATTTCAGGAATGTGCTGGGGAGGTTTGGGGGTTGCACGGATGTCCTCAGGGAAGAGGGGCTGCCATAAAACTGAAGTGTCACTTGCTGAGAAGGGAATGGGAGGGCTGGATAGGGAGTGTTGTGGCTTTCCCAGGGCCACTGCCTAGAGGAAACCTTGTCCTGGTGCAGGCACAGGTCTGGCTTCAGGTGGCCTGTATGTGACTGAGGAAGAGGGGGATCTTCCCAGGCGCCTCCTTGCAAGAAGCGTGAATTTATGTGATGGGTGCTGATGAATTAAAACAGGAGCTTCTCCAGTGAGGCTTGGTTAAGTTCAGCTGCCCAATAGCCAGCTCCTGCCTCCCTTTTATCTTGGGCATCCAACTGCTGTAGTCAGAGCTTTCCAGCCAGAGCTTTTAGCCTTCTTTGCAGTAAAACACATGAGGAATTGCTATGACTTTTGTTACTCCTGATTTTGACACGTGAACAGCAGCAGACAGACTGAGAATCCCCAAGCTGGGGGGTGTCACCTCCATGTAATTCCCCCTCTTTTTTTCATTTGCTGGCACCATTCACCCAAGGACGTGTTGAAATGGAGACTGGAACCTGTTGATCCGTGAATGTCTTTTGCTTCCCCTGGCTAAGGAGCTGCTGCTGCTGCCCTCTGCTCTGTGCAGCGTTTCTCTGAGCCGTCAGTGAGCCAGGACACCAAGAACACCCTGCTGCACACACTGGCACTGTACAACACTTACTCTTTTAATTTAAAGGTTTTTATGAAAATAGTTGATGTTTCCCTCTGTCAGTTACCAGTGGGAGGGGAGGGAAGGGGGCGGGAGAACCTGTGCATGCAAACGTATTTAAAGTGCGTTGACCAAACTTTTTGTTTTGTGTTTTGTTATTTTTTAGGGTTTTTGTTTTGTTTTGTTTTTCTGAATCTGTGAAGTTTTCATAGCTGTGAAGTCATCAGACTGCTGGGCAGTGAGGAGCTGCTGGTGCTGCTGAGTCTGTCTTGGTTACATTTCTTAATAAGCATTAAAATAATAAAATATATTTATAAAAGAGAGTGTGAGTGCCTTTGTCCCGGGGCTGGAAGGTCCGGTTGGGTGCCCATTTTCTTGCAAGTGTCTTGTTATCTTATTAGCTTTTCCCATAGATGATCCTTCAAGAGAGCTGCGTGATGAGGCCCGCGGAGGTTCCCGGTCAGCTACACAAGCAGCCACTGTGAGGAGCATCCCAGGCCACTGGTTCTCCCCACACACAGCCCCATTGGTGCCAGCCAGGCCTAAGGGGGCCACCCTGCCCTAAGATGGGCCCAATTCGCTTGGAAATGGAATCAGAGAGTCACAGGGCGCTCTGCGGCCAGACCAGGCCCCAGCTGGTGTCCAGGCCCGGTGCTCCATGGGCAGCTGTGTCGAGCGGTTCAACCAAGGGTGCGATCCAGAAGCTTTTTCTTCTTCCCTCCTTTCACAAACACTGTGCGTTTTGTTCCGCAGCATCAAAGGGCAGGCGCTGGGGAACAATGGAGGCGGCGGGAGCGCAAACAATGGCCCTGCTCGCCCGGGGGACAAGGGCCAGGCCTGCAGAGAACAAAGAGCTCCCGTCTCCGTGGCGCAAGTCTGGAGATCTCGCCTCAGGAGATCCGCACCTTGGCTTCGGCATCCAGGGAATCCAGACGTTGCGGGGCTTTTGCTGGAGACAGGGATCTGCCTGAGGACACTGTAGCTCAGCAGTGTGCTGGGAAAAACATGTTTCTCACCGGTGAAGTCGGATGGCGCAGTGGAGGGTTGTGGTCTCCCTGCTAAGGCTGGATAACGTTGGTGGCTAAAAAACCCTTTAGAGCAGCAGGATCTTCCTCTCCATTTCTGCAGGTAGGGAC